TTAATTGCTGGTGTTCCCAGGTCCATCCTAACCCGTCGCACATAACAAGTGGCGACGAGGTAACCCCCAAAAACAACTCTCTACACGGAGGACAAACCTTTTTGCCATCCGTCACACATAACAGTGTCGACGAGAAAACTGAAGAAACAAGTTCTACGTGGAGTTTCTAAAAAAACTAGTTCTAAGCGAACAAATAAAAAAAGAAGGAAATTTTTTTTTGGGACATCAACTTTACTGTGATAACAAAGACACAAGTTCTACACAGGGAATTTTTTTTTTTGCGTACACAGGTTCCAGAATATCAGGCTACACTAAAGGAAAATACTTACACAAAATTACGTTAACATGGAAGATTTTAAGTCAACCATTGTGGAACTTATGAAAATCCAATTTGAACAGCAACAGAAAAACGAACAGAAACATCTTAAATTACAAGAATTATTGCTACGTGTAATGTCAAATAGAGGGCAAAATTCCGAAAATGAAACATTTCTCTCATAAAACGCTATTTGGAGTACAATCGAAGATTTCACGTGTGCACCCGACGAAGACAAAACCTTTGCAACTTACTTCCGAAGGTACGAAGATCTATATGAATTTGACTGCAGAAATTGGTCAGACGCAAGAAATGTACGACTACTACTAAGAAAATTAGGCACATGCGAATATACCAAATTCGTAGATTATATCTTACCGAGGAAAACAAATGAGTTAACTTTCAAGAAGCCATAAAATTCTTAACAGAACTTTTCAGCCCTAATACCTCACTATTCCACAAAAGATGGGAATGTCTGAATCTAACAAAAAAGGAGAGCGAAGGTTACATAACTTTCGCTTCCACTGTAAACAAATATTGTGATGATTTCAAGTTATCGGAACCCAGTCCGGACAATTTCAAATGTTTAATATACGTCCAAGGCCTGGTTTCAACCAAAGACGCAGAAATTAGACGCAGAATCCTTACAAAATTAGAAAGTGAACAAAATTTGACACTTCAAAAACTGGTCGAAGACTGCCAGAGATGCATAAGTGTAAAGAAAGACTCAAAAGATATAGAAGAAGCTGGCATCGCGCACATACGTAAAGTACGAAGACAAACCAACTTTCCCTCCTCACAAACCAAACCAATTTTTCCTCCTCAAAAACAGGTCAAACAAATTTTTCTACTTCAAAAAGTCAATATCAGAAAAAACTACCACCCAGTCCATGCTATCGACATTATAATATTGCGCCTCACAAGAGGTATAGGGATGTTGTAAGACGAGAAGAGATAATTGAGAGCATATTGTAAGGACATTGGAATAGTGATACTTCTCGAGACAACATAGTTCACTCAAATCAAATCTGATAGTCATTACTAATACTTCTACTTTGTATTATATTTCTGTTGTAATATATCTTTGTATTCCGTACATGTGTTCGTGTTATTCTTTCATTGGTTCTAACCTTGTAGCAAGAATTGTCTAAAGAATTGTGAGTTCAATATCTGGTGATAGAAGTGGAGAACTTGGAGAGGTGAATTAACAGGAGATAACTGAAAGCTAACATCCATTAGACATGGCACGTGGAACTAGAACAGTCTACCCCAGTGAGCGAAATAAAGGGTTCAGTTCGACATTCATCCCCCTCCCCCCCGATGAAGTCTGGAGCGTACAACGGCCGAAACGTTGTAATAAATATGGCGACAACGATGAGGAGAATAGTTCGAATAATGTAAATTGTGTACATAATACCCCATCTCAGAAATATAGACAGATACTGAAGAGCCAAAACATTGTAATAAATATGAGGACAAAGATGAGGACAATAATCCGAATAATGTAAATAGTGTAAATTGAAACCTCATCTCAAAAATATAGACAGATACTGAACAGCCGAAACGTTGTGATAAATATGGCGACAAAGATGAGGACAATAGTCCGAATAATGTAAATGGTGTAAATTGAAACCTCATCTAAAAAACTATAGACAGATACTGAAGCGTCGAAACGTTGTGATTAATATGGCGATAAAGATGAGGACAATAGTTTGAATAATGAAAATAGTGTACATCTCAAAATTATAGACAGAGGGCCGAAACAATGAAATAAATATGGCGACAAAGATGAGATGTATAAACATGCTTTTTATAGTAAAAATACTGACAATACATTGTTGAAAATCAAAAAAATACTACCAGCAATACATTTAAAAAAATATGTCAATAAAACTGATCTACAAACTGATTTCTTACAAAGAATACATATTCTATTCATATGAACCTATCCTAAAAATCTTGTCGGCATTAAATAATACTTCGAGGTGTTGATATGCAGTAAAACAAAATAAATCAAACTAATAATTCTTGGATACACTTTGGATGTAGGCTTACTTTGTGGACGAGGTTAATTTAGTATGTCTCCGAACATATATAAAAATCTGGAATGTCGAATTGTGATTTTAGAAAACAAGCACCATTTGCTCAACACAATCTAACATTTCTGCTTATTTTTGACAATTTAAACCATGCAAAATAAATTAATCATATATACGCTCCATCGCTAAAAAATCAGGAAAAAATGAACGGATCTTAAATTATCTCACTCTACTTGCCAGGATATATTTTGACAATAGTTAGATCTGACAATAATACATATAACACAACAATATTATATAATAGAATATACAATACAATAATTAGATCAGACCAAAATGTAATACTGTTGACATATTTGAGTTGCTCAATCCTCAATTGAGTCCAAAAGCATCTACGTGGTCTTGTGGGTGATTATTTTCCACCCTACAACTCCTTTCCTCATAGACACAACGTTGCAAGTCTATCGATAATCTGTTGCTATTTCCATGGGAAATGTTCTGATGAGATACATTCCTTATTTTCCAGCAACTCTAACGCTCACAGCTCAGACTCTCCATGCCACATACACAGATTCGAATCATCCTAATTCCCTTTGTATTTCATTCTTAAGAAGGACATTCCCCTTATTTTTGCTATTTTGTGGAACAGACTACTAAGAGGTTGCTTCCTTGACCACTACAATCTTAATCTCTTCTGGTTTAGAAAGAACCATTTTTATCCTACATATCCCCATAATCTGCACTTCTTCCACTTACCTCCATAGAAAAGCTCCATTCAAGTAAGATATGCCATGCCACATCCACAGGGTCAAATCAGCTTCATTCCCTTCGTATTTCATTCGTAAAAATGAAGTTTCATTTTGACAGCTTCTTCCTAAGTGTCGCTACATTTTGGAACTTCCAATAGTATGCTTCACCGAACACTACATTCTAACCGTTTGAAGACAAGGTCAATATTATTATTTATACTACATATCTTCACAATATACAATTCTTACCTGTCTATATTTCTGAGATGAGGTATTGTAAGTATTTACACTAATTACATTGTTCACACTGTTATCCTCATCTTTGCTGTCATATTCACAACGTTTTGGCCGTTGAACGCTCCGGCCTTATTCAGGATCTCTCTATATTTCTGATATGAGATATTGTAATTATTTACAGTATTTACATTGTGCAGACTGCTGTCCTTATCTTTATTGTCCTATTTACGACGTTTCAGCCTTCTTCAGGATCTGTCTATATTTCTGAGATGAGGTACTGTAACTATTTACACTATTTACATTGTTCAGACTGTTATGCTCATCTTTGTTGGTATATTCACGATATTTTGGCCGTTATACGCTCTGGCGTCCTTCGGGTGTTTGGAACTTCGAACTGAACTCTTTATTTTGTGAGCCGGTGATTGTTTTAGTTCCCCGTGTCACGCCTCTTCCGGATGTCCCAGTTATCTCCCTTTAACTCAACTCTCCAAGCATCCAGGTATTGAACTCACAATACTTAGGGTCAAGTCACTGGAGCCAACCAACGCTTTTATCATTGAGGACAATCACCTGAAGAAGACTGGAGTGTACAACGGCCGAAACGTCGTGAATATGGCAAAAAAAAAAAAAAAAAAATGAAGACAACAATCCGAACGATGTAAATAGTGTAAATAATTACAATACCTCATCTCAGAAATATAGAGAGGTCCTGATGATGGCCGGAACGTAAAACGGCCGAAACGTCGTGAATATGGCAACAAAGATGAGGACAACAATTCGAACAACATAAAAAGTGTAAATAATTACAATACCTCATCTTAGAAATATAGAGCGGTCCTGATGATGGCCGGAGCGTACAACGACCGAAACATCGTGAATATGACAACAAAGATGAAGACAACAATCTGAACAATGTAAATAGTGTAAATAATTACAATACCTCATCTTAGAAATATAGACAGATCCTGATGAAGTCCGGAGCGTACAACGGCCGAAAAGTTGTGAATATGGCAATAAAAATGAGGACAACAATCCGAACAATGTAAATAGTGTAAATAATTAGAATACTTACGTTCATAAAACAACCACATGTAACACTCTACATCGAGTGGCTCTTGGGTATTGTATTGGTTAATCAATAATGTTTTCTTCCTCTATCCAACTCTTAATGCCGACTCACAACAAAATACATATCTGCGAATCACCTTGACGTGAGATATCAAATTTTTCCTGTTACCTAAACACGCGAACTGATGGGGAATTTAGTAAATGTATATATCAGAGGCTGAGGCCTATGTCCCCACGACAGGATGGACTCAATTAGTTGAGTAATGACCCGTCCCAGCCCATTGTCGTTAATTCCACAATGCCGCCGCTGTAATTGCCTAGTCTGTACGCTTGTCTGGTTGGTCGGCGTAATAAGAACGACTCGCCTCGGACTTCTGAAGATTGTTTCGCTCGAGTATTTAATTGAAAGCCTCTTCCGCCCTCAATCATTCGTACAACGGGTGTTTCACGAGTGGGTGCACTTGAATGAGAATATTTCTACATTAACCTGTCTTTGCATAGCAATCGACACACGTATGCAAGATAAAAATATGTACGTCGGACCTGCTATCTATCTATCTATCTATCTATCTATCTATCTATCTATCTAAGCTTGTTCATATCTATCTATCTATCTATCTATCTATCTATCTATCTATCTATCTATCTATCTAACTACTGTTCATAGACAGTTCATATCTGTTTGTTCTATCTATCTATCAGATCTATCTATTAATCTCTTATCTTATCTATCTGTCTGTCTATCTATTCATCTATCTATCTATCATCTATCATCTTTATCTATCTATTTGTTCTATCTATCTATTCAGATCTGTTCATTATTCATCTATCTATCTATCTATCTATCTATCTATCTATCTCAGTTTGTTAATATCTATCTATCTATCTATCTATCTATCTATCTATCTACTGTTTATAGACAGTTCATATCTGTTTGTTCATATCTATCTACAGATCTATCTATTAATCTCAGCCTGTTTATATCTGTCTGTTCATATCTATCTATCTATCTATCTATCTATCTATCTATCTATCTATCTATGCGAAAGTTAATTCTATCTATCTATCTGAGTCTGTTCAAATCTATCTATCTATCTATCTATCTTTCTATCATAGATTTATCTATCTATCTATCTATCTATCTCAGTTTGTTAATATCTATCTATCTATCTGCTATCTATCTATCTATCTACTGTTTATAGACAGTTCATATTTATTTGTTCACCATCTACAGATCTATCTATTAATCTCATCTATATCTTCTTATCTATCTATCTATCTATCTATGAATAAAAATGACAATAGGAAAACTGGTAATTGCTGACGCGTTTCGTCCAAGTTTTCCTATTGTCATTTTTATTCATAAATATTGTCTTTCCTACTGGTTAAATCGGAGAAATTTTCATATCTATCTATCTATCTATCTATCTATCTATCTATCTATCTATCTATCGCAGTCTATTCATATCTATCTATCTATCTATCTATCTATCTATCTATCTATCTGTGTCAGTCAGTTCGTATCTATCTGTGTTCGTAAGTATGTATGTACGTATATAGGTACGTATCTATATCTATATAAAAAGAAGTGATCTTTCATAAGTTGTTTTTAAATAAAATCCTTTATTACCACCAATGTTAAGCACCTGATGAGATGTCTAAATTAGGCAACGAAACAAATATGCATTTTTCTCATCGTAACTTACATGTTCTAATGTAACAGTTTAATATATATATATACATACATACATATATATATATATATATATATATATATATATATATATATATATATATATATAGATATATATATATAATATATTAATGCATGTTTCATTACATAATATAGACAAGTTTTGTCTATTTATTTTAAGTTCTTTTCATATTGTTTGATAAGCTTAATCATAACTTCTAATAGAAGCCATTGGTTTAAATCAACGGCCTCCAATAGTTAAAACTTATCGTTTTTCACTCACGCGTGGTCAGTGTGACGTCACGATCTGCGACGCGATTTTCGCTTACGCGTCTCGTATGTACGAGTTTGTCGTTACTTGGAAATTTTCATGCAAACAAAACGGACTATCATTGTTGTTTCGTCCGAGTATTGTTTGATTTATTGAAATTTTCATCTTTGATAATGTCTTATGTAAGCCGAAAACTTAGATTGGATTTAAACATGTATCAATATGGTGTTTTCCTTTCGTCTTTCAATGATAATGTTATTAAGCTTATCAGACAATATGAAAGGAACTTACTTAAAATAAATAGAAAAAACTTGTCTATATTTTTTTAATGAAACATGCATCAATGAAAAATTTGTCTAAATATATATATATATATATATATATATATATATATATATATATATATATATATATATATATATATATATATATATATATATATATTTTATTTATAGATAATTCATCTATTCTAGAAGAATCCTACATAAACATAATGCAAAAAGCACTTTTAAAGTGCATCCACTACCGAAAACCAGTGGCGTTGTTACCTAACGGTTCACACTTCGATTCTCTTTAGTATATATATATATATATATATATATATATATATATATATATATATATATATATATATTATTATTTTAAAAATTATAACATAAGTATGTTATAAAATCAAACAAAAAATAGCTATTTTTTGTAGTGATTTTATAACATACTTATGTTATAATTTTTTATAAAAATAATTATATCTGCTCTACTTTGTATTGAGCACTCTTTTAAGAATAGTAATTGTTGGTTATTGGAATTCATTCCGTATATACCAATTATATACTTATATATATATATATATATATATATATATATATATATATATATATATAAAAAAAAACAGAACCTTTTGGAATATTTCGAAACACCTAAATACCCTATAACAAGATAAAATCTCGAACAAGGACAGCAACAAGGAAAAAGACCTTAAGGCAAACACCTACTTCATTGGTAAATTAAAGTGCTCGATGACTAGATTACCTTGAGCAAAACTGACTGAATGTATGGCCTTAATCCTAACCCGAGTTTTACGCTCACGCTCTCTTTAGATGACTTCAACCTCTCTATATCTGCATCCATCAATCTACGCCGTTTCTTAATCACAACATAATTTTCCTTTCTTTGCAACCAGGCATATAAATACTTTTCTTTGATTTATTTATATGCAAAGGTTTTATGAATTTAGTTTTCCCCTCATGATTTGTACAACGTGATCACATTTTAACTCAAGCAGAGTATATAGAATTGTGTATAAAATAAGTTTACATTTGTCTAGGCATTGAATATTTATCTAATGTCTGGTCTTGTGCGGTGTATTTAGGCGTTATTGATAAAACCCCCAAAAGTTATTGACTTGGCATCTCGGCTGCACTTCCTTTCTTACTGCAGTGATTTAGCTTTCCTGTGTCTTTTGTATAAATATTTCCATGGTAATTGTTCCGATGAGTTTTCTTCTTGGGTACCACAACTTTATGAATTTAAGCGCAGCAATAGATTAGTCGATAGATTTAAGAATGTTACTATTGAAATGGCTAGATGCAACCGTAATTTCTATGTTAACAGTTTCTTCGCTCTTGATTTCTGTTCAGTTCTGATTTTCAAAAATTTAAATACGATATATCAATGGTTATTTTCTGTCTTCTTAATTTGTGTTCCTTTATTGTTCCCCACCTTAATAATATTTTATTTTCTTATATTATTTTACAATCAGTAAGCCTTTGCGTTTTAGTGGCTTTATTGCCTTGCTTGTGGTGAAATTATTTAAAAATGGATGAAAGCACACGGAATGAGTATTAGTGCTAAGAAAGACTGGAAGTTGTAGAGAGCCGTGATTGCTATCGCCCTGAAGGTCTACGGTATATAGAAGAAGAAGAAGAAGAAGAAGAAGAAGAAGAAGAAGAAGAAGAAGAAGAAGAATGGAACACCCTGTAATCGGATCCTATTTGCTACCATCAAAGATAAACAAGCAATTGAGGAAATCATTATGTTGTTCTTTTTGGGCAAAATGAATGGTTATGAACAGACATTTTCACAGACTGAATGTTTTTTAAACTGTTGCTAGGCAACAGTGCCAGTTACCAAAATTGCCTCAGACCAAAAAAGACATACAATGATTCAATCAGGATCTAATCAAATCGAACACCTAATTGCCTTAATTAATAACCAATCAATAGTTGATTTTTGTAGAAGGTTTTAATATATCGGCCATGATCTGACGCATCGTAGAACACGTGTGATTATTCAGTGTGTAGGCGGTTCGGTGTAAGCGAATGTGTCAGTCTTTTGGGGGGGCGAACAGGGATGAGATTTAACCGATTGGCGGCGAGGTCGTGTGTGTGTGTGTGTGTGTGTGTGTGTGCGTGCGTATTTGTGCGTTTGTGTGTGTGAAGATAGCTTAGCATTTGCGCAAACGTATGTACTATATATATATATATATATATATATATATATAATATATGAATACAGGAAGATTCTAGAGAAAGAAAGTAAAGAAATATATTTTAATAAAAAAAAAAAAAATTTAAAAAAAAAAAAAAAGTAAAACAAACAACTAAAAAAAAAAAAATTTTTAAAAAAAAAAAAGACCTTTTTCCGAGAGAAACTCATGTTTCATGTCTGGTGTAACATTCTTAGCATATCGTTACAATTTAACTTCTATCAGACTAATCAAAGCTTAGTAAATATCAATAATAGAAATAGAGATATTATCTCTCTCTGACTCTCTCCTATTTATATATATATATATTTATCTATCTATATATGGAATATTTTAGTCAACAGCTTAATGTATTAAACTGTTTTATGCTAAACATTTAATCATCATACATATATAACATATATATATATATATATATATATATATATATATTTTAGTATAAATTTTAACATTTAATCATTTTACTACATTTTTTGTTTATAACCATCAGGAACTTGTAGAAAGAAAAAGAAAATGGTGTTGAGAATGAGAGACAGAGAGACAGAGAGACAGATATCTCGTTTTAAAGCCTACCTAATATCTGATTTCTCAGAAGGATTATTATTATTAATATTATTATTATTATTATTATTATTATTTTTAAAATAATTTCCTTTAACTTCTGGATGTACCATTTCTTTCCGGGTCCTGACCAGAGGCCATAAGGTCAGAAATATCGTCATGACATTTTCCACTGAAGCAGTTTTGTGTAAAACAACACACAAACACACACACACACACAAATTATATATATATATATATATATATATATATATATATATATATATATATATATATATATATATGCTCATAAATTTTTTGTAAGATAAATTTATTATGGCATAACTGGAAATCCCTTCAAAAAAGTCTATTGGAATCTTTTCCAACCAATCCTAGGGCTCCAACTACAACGGGGATTGTTGATGTTCTCATATGCCACATTTTTGATTTCTCATTTTTCAAAGGTCCTTGTATTTTGACAGCTTTTGAATATCTTTAAAATAATGATACATTGCAGTCAGCAGGGAACTATAGTTAATCAATAAAATTTTTTTTTGTTTGTAATCTTTAATAACAATGTCTGCGCGGTTGGCTTTAATTGTTCTGTCAGTGTGTATTGTTTTTCCCATAGAATTGTAACAGGTCCCATCTCCGTAACCGAAGTCTTGGATGTTCATCTCTTTGAGGCATGGACTTCAGCATGGAATTTTTAATTATTTACTGGAATCTTTTTCCAAATTTCAATACTAGGGCTCCAACTAAAAAGGGACTGTTGATGTCCTCAAATTGCTCCATTTTTTTGATTTTGATTTCAAAGTTCTTGTATTTTGATAGTTTTTTGAATATCTTCAAAGATACATTGCAGTCTGCAGGGACTGTCATATCAATATTATTATTATTATTATTACATGATTCGACCCTTTCAAGGTGTGACACGTTTATGTTGCAGCTGCTAATGCCTGAATACAATTTGCTAGCATCTGTAACTAACTGATGACAAGCCAGTTTTCCTAATTTCTAGTCATTTTCTGATACTAATGGTCGTCCAGTATAAATAATCCCAAATGTTAAAAAAAAATAGAATAATTAATATGTGATGTACCATGTGCAAGAAAAAGGCAAGAAGTAATTTTCCTAAGGTTATGCAGGAAAGAAAATGATTGAAGACGTCAAGATTGTATTGATTGCAAAAAAAATTCCCAAAGCGGCATTTCTTGGGAATTAGCTGTACGAGTAGAATTTACTTCTTATTAATAGAATACGAAGGCCAAAGAGGATGATTTTTTTGTGTACATGTCTTAAGAAAGTTCAGATATTTTATCAAATGTCAAGGCTGGTGACACCAAAGAATGCAGCTCATGAAAACCCATGCCATGGAAATAGCGATGGAATAGAGAGAGCCTCGTGTCGTTTCGTCTGTGAAAAAGGAGTTGTAGGTTGGAAAATAATTCATCAACCACAAGGCCGCGTAGACACTTTTGAACATCAAAACAGGCAAGTGAGGATTGTGCAGCACTAGATCAAACATGACAGCAACAATTAATTTTTATG